TTTAATTATATACTGGGGCTGACCTGAACAATCTAAACTAGATTGTAGAGCTCAAAAGTGAGAAAAACTGACAAGAGTATTTGTCTGGCAGTGGTAGTGAAGAGGCGACTGGCTGGTGGTGATCAAATCAAAAATTGTTTCAAGTAGCATTAACTCTTCTAAACCTACTTATATCAGCTTTCTGAAGACTCACTAGAAAGGAAGTAAAATCTGAAATAGGGAAGTGGCTATTTCAGAAACTTGAAAGATATTAAGGGGATTATCACCTAGCAGAAGATAGGTGGTAATCTCCCCTAAACATCTGCTGAACCAATACACTTGCAATCAGGACTGATGTGAATTGTGATGGGTATGAATCTAATTATCACCTAACAAAAATGTAGTTACTAAAATTCTTCTAACTCACGAAATGCACATGGATGCTAAAATGAAACTGAAATTATCTGATTCATATAAATCCCTTTCATTTAGGATTACAGACTATCAAATTGAGTTTTCAACATAACTGTAGACTGAAATCAAGGAAATGTTACATTATCTACAGCATACTAGACACCATTCCCAGACAATGCAAACCTTTGAAAACTTTCACCACTTACCCTTTTGTATCTCTCTCTCTCTCTCGCTTTAGTACTGGCTAGGACTTTAGTAGTGTTTAGTTATACGGTGATGATAGGTTCAGGCCGTCCTTTCTCATGCCAACCTCAGAAGGGAAATTCTGACCATCTTTTTTTTAACCATCTGTTTTCCATAGGATATTTTTAAAGAAAGGTACTGTGTATCATCAGGCTAACAAAGTTTCTATTCCTAGCTTACTACATGTACTGTTGTAAATGGATACTGAACTTAAGTTTATTAGTCATCAAAATTAGTCTGTCAATATGGTGAACTATACTGATGGCAAAGAGACTTCTGGTTTTGACCAAATGTTTCGTAACTCTCATCACGACTGTGAAAACTTACCCAACAATTTGGTATGGGGAATTTGTTTCTTGGAAATTATGCAGTTTTCTCTGCAGCTGCATACTAATGTATCTGGGATATATACGCATAATTTAATATATAAACTGGAAATTTAATTCATTTTAAAATATTTCTGTTGTAGGTATCACCATTTTCTCTGTTGGTGTGGCTTGGGCACCTCTGGATGACCTGAAAGATATGGCCTCTAAACCAAAGGAGTCACATGCATTCTTCACAAGAGAGTTCACAGGATTAGAACCAATTGTCTCTGATATCATTAGAGGCATTTGTAGAGATTTCTTAGAATCCCAACAATAATGGCGGTATTTTGATAACAACAAAAAAGTGCAAGGAGATCTAATGTATGAATTGTATTCTTATGATACTGAAATACTACAGCATACTAGGAACAGATACAGTACACATGTTAAAAGCTATTTAAGTATATAAGCATTCATTTAAAGTTATTACCTTCTAATTACAACTTAGACTTTTAAGACTTTTGACTAAGGCTTCATAGTCATGGCCCTTAGAAACTCAGGAAAGAGGAAGAGGAGATATCATGGATTTAAAAAGTTGATATACCTATAAAATGTAGATATGCAAGTACCATAGTTCAATAAAAGAATCTGATACTTAGACGGAAAGCAACATTCTTTCTCTATCATCCTATTGACTATATAAAGAAAAAGAGCAAGGTTTAAGTATCAATATTGTGACCCAAATGAATGTTTTCTTAAAACCAATCAACAATAATCATCAATGTTACTTTATACACTAAAAAACTATAATTGTGGGCTATAAAGGAAATGAGTACCAACTTGTGTATTTTCATAATCTACAAATGAAAATATATAAAAGATAGGATTGCCAGGTATTTTTCTATTTATATCCTTAATTTTGTATGTGTATAGATCAGCTTGTACTCTAAAAATAGTTATCCAGGGACTGAGGAGATAGTAAGGATTTTGAAGATTCAAAAAGGAGCAGTATAGAAAAAAATATTGTAGTTTGAAGAACAATAAAATTGTTAGTGATGTACTGTGCGCTTTACTTTTATTATTCCATGACTCTCTGTAGGATATGATAAAACTTCTGTACTCGTGATATAGACCAGTCTGAATTGCTTTTTTAAAATCATACACTACTACTAAATACCTTTTCCTTTATTTACCGAATGCGTTTTGAGGCATTACATGTAGGCACTACCAGACTAAGCACTGTAATATGCTCTTGAGTAACTGCTTCAGGAGAAATGTTTTGTAGCTAGTGTTATTTTTCCTTAAGCATGTTCGTGATGTTTATGTCTAAGTAGAACACCAAAACTCCCTTAATACAGATTACCTTAGAGGGCCTCTTCCCCCACCACAGAGGGGCTCTCACCACATCTTGTCTTTGTCCCTCTCCTTATCCCTCACTTCAAGCAGATACTGCTTGTAACTGAAACTTTACAACCAAATAATGACCTGAAGAAAGTACAATGGACCTTCAAGTTACAACTGGACATACGAACAACTTCAGTTACAACTGGAATTTTAGTTGTAACTTATACAGTCTTTAGTTATGACCCAAACGCTGGCTCCTTGTGCTTCCAGATGGTCTAATAGATTTAACCCGTGAAGAGTTCTGGAAGAAACATTACAACATCCTTTCCAGTGTAGGGTTAAGAAATCTTCGGCCAGTGTCTAAGGACACTGAGATCTGCATGTATACACAAGATAGTCAAGGCTGTGTAGAGCATGAGCCTTCAATTGACCAACTTGAGTTACAAGCCCCTGTGAACAAATTGAGTTTGTAAGTCAACAGTCCTCTGTATTAACTAGTTGGAATAAAACTCCAGTAAATCTTTTCAGTCTAACAATTATACAGCCCATGCAAAGGGAATAAAAGCCCATGTACGGGAAGAGTCAACTTTGACAGTACATTAAAAAATTTGATCAAATGGCAAAGACACTAACTTCCCTTCTCCCCATTAATAAAAAGCTACAAATATGATTGAGAATGTTAAGAGAAAAACGGGTGTTTTCCCTCCAAGTGCATAACCTCATTCTCAACCAGGAGTACCAAATTATATCTCTATCTCTATATTGATCTTTATTAGTATCTAATCCGACTAGGATCTTGCTATATAGTCCAGGCTGGTCTCCAAATGCAGTAGTCTTCTTGCCTCTGCCTCCCGAGTGCTGGAATGACAGGAGTTAAATATTAATCTTTAATAAAATCTTGATGCTTCCAAGTTATTGGTTCTTTTAAATACATTTTCCCCCCTTTAATTCCATAAAAGACAAAATTCTGGGCAATCTGAAGCTAGTACTTTTACTTTCACAGCAGCAAGAAAAGTCAAAACTTCAAGTTACTGTAAAACTAGACAAAAAAAATTTTAATGGACAATTTAACTGTATAACATACATGCCTGAATTTCAAATATACCAGCTCATTTACAATTTTAATATATTAAATGTGATGCTACTTTTCAGTAAGTAACAGTTTGATATTAAGAAAAACAACATGAAGTCTGGTATGGTAGCACATACCTATAATCCCAGTACTCAGGAAGCAGAGGCAGGAGGTTTGAGGAGTTCAAGGCCAGGCTTGGCTACAAAGTGAGTTCATTCCAGCCTAAACTACATAGTGAGACCCTGTCTTTAAAAAAATATACTAAATACCTAAACCAAAGTAAGTAAGGGAACTATGTTCATACTAATTTTTACTCACTACAGTTCCAACACATTCCAAAAGAGATGAATACTTTTGCATGCAATGACAACCGCTATTACAGTGATGTGATGGGGTGGAATAGGTGCCAGAAACAATACTAGATTTTGAAGCAGGGGGTGGGGGTATGTCCCTTTAATTTGTTCATTAGCAGAGTGTTCAGGAAACAACCAAAGATTTTTCTTAAAAAGTTTTGAAAAGTCTTAGTGTTTCATCAGTGATTACTAGACCTGCCATGTGTCTCAATGAATACACAATATCATCTAATTTTTGCAGTAGGAATTCAAATAGAATTTGAAAGTTTTCTAGTGTCCCCTCTGCAACTGCTTTCAAAGGAAAAGGATATCGCCTGTGGAAGGAAAAAGTTTTAAGATCTTAATAGTTAACCTTATGTATGTCATTTTTAACTAATGAATAATGCAATTTATTCTTTGCTAAACTTTTTCATGGAAATAGGTACGGCTAGATAGGTCAACACCATCGACTGAAATTCAGATCTAATAAAGTAATAATGGCTAAGCAAGTTATTAAAACTGCATCTTTAAATTACTCTGAATGGAAGAACATTTTATAATTTTTAAAAACTTGCCAAATGGGGTGAAACACTTCAAAAAGATGTTTTTAAGACTGTTACTATTCTAATCTTACTAGAATACCAATAAGCAGTATAACGTACAATTGAAAAAACAGCATAAGCCAGGGATATAGCTCAGTGGTTCCACTGCCTGCTGCCTTGCAAGCACAAGGTCCTGAGTTCGATCCCTGGTACCAAACAAAAACAAAAACAGCGTAAAAATGAAGGACTCACTAAGAAATAATCTCCTTGCCCTAGTTTAATTATAGAGAATATTGCACTTTATTATTTAACATAAAATGATGTGGCCAACAGTAACATACAGGTACACAATTTAATATTTATTATATGCATTTTATATACATTATTTTTCAACAGGTGTACTTTTGTGTTGTGGTACAATTTGCTGATTCGTAGTTTGTAAAACAAAAACTTACAAAACTCATCAAAACTCGCAAACTGATCAGAAAAGTTTTTTGGAAGACTAGAAAAAATACTTTATTGTCTTAACCATGCATTACACAAACAAAATCTTTACACCAAAAAATTAAGCACATCTAAAAAAATAAAACAGGGAAAACTAGTCCAAACACAGCAGATTCTGTATCCTGATTCAACTATTTTTGTACCCTATTTGTAATGTAAATAAAATTTTATTCCAAATATTTTTAAACAAGATAATTTTGTTTGGAATCATGGCAAACCAAGGTAAGTATTTTAGGGGAAAACACCTTGGATTTGTGACTTAAACTATAAAATATTCCATTTTTAGTCTATTTTAGACTATTCCAAGAATCCCAAAATAGATATACAGGTTTCTTTAGCACATTAATAAAAGGATATAAAGACCAACAAAAAGTGAAATAAATAATAGGTCATTAGCAAGATGGGTAATCCTTGATAAATAAACTTGTAAATACAGTAAGATGTACAAAATATCACATAGTGATAGGATGCCAAGATTAGTTTTTTTTAAAGAGTTCATTTGGAGTACTAAACCCCACTGTTTCATTTTAATACACTTATTAGTCCTTGGTTCATGAAGACATTTATGTGATGATGAAGGTGATTTAGCATCTTTATGAAGGACTTAACTGAGCTGTATTAAGCAAAAAAAAAAAAAACACCAAAAAACGTTATGGGCATCTGGTCAGTGAGAACTCTGTTTTAGGGTTGTATAATGCAGAAAAACTTCAATCTTGAGCACTGTTGTGACAGGCGAAATATAAAAAAGACTTATAAAAACTAGAATTTTATCCAAACATTTTGTGCAACTAATGCTAAAATATTTTAAGTTAAATTTTCCTTTTTTTTTTTTAAAGCAAAATAAGTTTAAAGGGGAATCTGTGGCATTCAACTGATAAACATAAGATCGTTAAGAGATGAAAATAAGCTACTCTTGGAGCTCACTTCCCCCCACAAGAGCACCACATTCCTAACCCTAAGGCAGCACACAGAGTCCAAAAAAAAAAAGGAAAAAAAGTCTTCGTAAGATCAGACTCTACATTGGTTTAAATACATCTTTAAAAAATCAAATATATGCTCAGTTCATATCCAGTATAAATACTGGAGTCCTTTTTCTTTTTGTCCCACAAAGTACAGTAATTACAGTTAAGTCAATGCGCCTAACATTAAGATGTGATTTCCACTAATTTATGCCTGCCCCAAATGCCTTCACCAGGCAGATCACATGTAGTGTCATATCCAGTAATCTTTTTGATGGCAGTGATGCAGACCCTCCTTTTTTCCACGCAAATCTTTCATCATGATGAGAGTTTCTATTGATTCACACAAACACTTTGGCAAGGGCATCAGCTCCTGCACTGGCAATATATGCTTTTGATGGATGGAAAGCAACATCATAAATTGATTCGTCCAATTTCTTTCTATGAGCTGTTATTTCTTGTACACATGTCTTGCTGTCTAAATTCCATAATCTAATTGAACAGTCATGGCCTGTAAAAAGACAAATGAAGCTTGTTACAGAGGAATAATACTTTTAGAAAGTTTATGGGAGCTGGGATGGTGCTCAGTGGTGCTCTGCCTGCCTGGCAAGCGCAAGGTTCTGAGTTTGATTCCCAGTACCAAAAAAGAAAGAGTTTTACAGGTGGTTCAAAGATCAGACTTACTTCCAGACATCAAATAGATTCCATTAGGATCTACCGCTAGACTTGTAACAGCATCCAAATGAGCTACCATAGAATGGATCATTTTACCTGTAAAACATAACAGAGAGGATAAAGCAAAACTAGTAAAGTAAGAGACACACCAATGCAACATCAAGCAAAAAGAATTACTTTAGCAATACCGTTTTGGTAAAAATACCTAACAATATAAAGTTTACCATGTTAACCATTCAAAAATGTACAATTCAGTGGCTGTTAGAACATTCACAATGTGCAACTATTATTACCATCTGATTCAGAACACTTTTGTCACTGAAAAAGGAAACTATACCCATTAAGTAATCACTCCCCGTTTGTCCCTGTTTCCAAGCCCTGGTAGTACCAATCTGCTCTTTCCAGAGATAGGCCTATTTTAGATGCTCCATGAGAACGGACTAATATAGTATGTGGTTTTTTGTGTTTGGCTTCTTTCACTAAGTATGTTTTCAAGGTGCTTCTACCATACAAGTATTTTGAAGAGAATTTTAATTCTAATGCAGAACTTTTCCATGTACTCTTAGAAAAGACATCTGTGTGTCATGTATGTGATAGTATGTGAGAAACAATGGAAAACATGATAGGGCCTCAAAGGTTTAAGACATATAAGCTAAAATTAAAACTAACATCTTAGTAAAAGACCTTATGATAATTTTATAGATTTGAGTTAATGATAAACAAATTATCAGAAAATACATACCTAAAGCTTCTAGGATAGAATTTATTTATCCTATAAAAATGTCAACTATTTTATATATTCAAAAGAAGAAAGGGGAAGAAAAGACAGGAATATATCACAGAAATTACTTTAGATTTTGCCTAGATATTAACAAAATCACTGTGCTGAAAAATATCTTTTTTTTTTTGTTTGTTTGTTTTTTTTGAGACAGGGTCTCACTATGTAGTTAAGACTGACCTGGAACTCACTATGTAGCTCAGGCTGCTCTCGAACTCACAGTCATCCTCCTGCCTCAGCCTCCCAAATTCTGGGATTACAGGCGTGTGCCACCACACCCGGCTTAAAAAATGTCATTTAATGAATACTTTAATTGAAGTCTGGCAAGCAGATGGGATTCCAATAGCAAGTCAAATTTAAAAACAAGGTGGGATACAGAGTTGGGCTGCAACAGACTGGGGCAAGGGCATTTCTCATTGGCAATATATGCTTTTGGTGGACAGAAATCAACATAATAAATTGATTCACCAGGTTGGGGAAGGTGGCAAATGTATGCGACAGCAGCACACAGGCTGAGGCAGGAGGATCGCCATGAGTTCAAGTGAGGCTATATACTAAGATCCCATCCCAATAAACTAAACCAAACCAAACCAAAAGAGATTCACTAAAGAAGGTAATAAAATAGCAAATACTGATACTTCTAACATTTACTTTCATTCAGGAAAAAGTTTATTATTTCAATTCATTGGAACCTCCTAAGGAAAGACAGGAATCCTCTAAAATCTGAATTACAGGGCCAGGGACTTAGCTCAGTGGTTCCACTGCCTGCCTCACAAGCGTAAGGTCCCGAGATTGAAGCCCAGAACCAAAATAAGTAAATAAACAAATGAATAATAAATCCGAGGGCTGGGGATGTAGCTCAGTGGTTCCACCACCTGTCTCATAAACGCAAGGACCTGCGTTCAATTCCCAGTACCAAAACAAATAAATAAACGAATGAATGAATGAATAAATCTGAATTACAATTG